TCTAGTATATTCTCTGACTTTCCTTTCACTTATGTCAAGAGAAAGCATTGATTTACTCTGGTGAGAAGACATGCCTACCTCGAGCCCGATGTTCAAACATCGGCAAACTTGTGGACTATTCTGATAATGCCGTTAGCTTAACCTGTTACTTAAGGTTTCTTGGCTTTGGAAAGAATTGAAAAGAAAGTGGGTGTCATCAATCTGATTCCCTGAGATGCTACTCTGAGTCAGATGTGGGGAATGCTTCAGATATAAGGAATTGGAGGAAGCAGGTTTGGGGGACAAAGTTAGATTACCACAGGATTTAGCTGATTCTAAAGGCCCTTTAGAGTTGAACCAAATTGAGGCAAAGAGTCAGCGTTTTGAATCACCATTCACCAGTCACTGGGTTTAATCTTGAGCAAGAGACAATTCTTGAAATCTTTCACCTGTAGACTGTCAGCAGGTAGATCTCTCTACATGACATCTTTCCAGGATTACTACCTAAATTTAACAGTAGGTCAAGGGAAATTCTGATTAAACAAAATCATCGCATTTTGCCCTCCACCTTAAATGCATTCTAATAGATTTCATGCTATCTCTCAGACTCTTTATAATTACCCAAGACTTACTTTTGTTTAAGGTATTTTTGCAACATAATTTTTTAATAATTATTTCAATATTTCTTTGACATTCTGTTTGTTCTTTAATTTGGCATGCTTTATTCAGAAACCATAATGTTTATGCAGCATGGTAGACTATATCACTATATAATCTGAGAAATCTTTATCAATTTGTAGACCTAGAGACAGACATAATTAAAGTTCAACTAAGAAGAATTACTATGAGGGACAGAGGAAAATTGTCATAGCAACCAAAATCCTGATCTTGCTCATTTTATATCACAAAAGTAAACCTTTATGATATGTTAGAGTTTTTCTGCATATTATTTTAACAAATAACCATTTAACATAATTTATTTGCAAAATATGTAGCTGCATCATTCTTTCTTACAATTTAGCTGCTTACATTATACTTCATTTTTTTTTAAATGTGTCATTAGGAAACCTTTCTACAAGATCTAATTTTCTCAAGAGCAAAACAGTTTAAAGGATATTTGGTGTAACTTAAAATAATTTGGATTTATAAAAGCAAAACTTAAACACAGAGAGCAGAATGGTGGTTGCCAGAGGGGAGAGAGTTAGGGGTTAGGCAAAAACTGTGAAGAGGGTTAAGAGGTACAAACTTCCAATTATAAAATAAGTCATGAGCTGTATCACACAGCATGATGACTACAGCTAATAATACTGTGTTACATAATGAGAGTTGCCAAGAAACTGGATTTTAAAAGTTCTCATAAGAAAAATATCTTTGTAAATCTGATAATGAATGCTAACTGCACCCTTTGTAATCATCTTGCAAAGCTTACAGATACTATATATAATTGTATATGGCATTTATACCACAGTAAAAAATATAATGCCTACTTATAATATATTGACAATGTAAACATTTGGCTTAAAAAAAAAGTGAGTATTCTAACACAAGGTTTAACATTTTTAAGTATATCACTCTAATTTCCACTATAGAAGTTTTTTTATATATATATAAACTGGACACATTCTCCTAATTTTCATTCTTCATCTAGCATTGTGATGTATTTCTAGGTTTGTAATCATTTAACTTTAAGATTATTTAAAAACAGCATTTTATGGGAATTCTATAATTCAGAAAGTCTCTATATTAGATACTTAAAAGACCAAAATCTAAGTAACTGTAAATATCCTTAAATTACTTGTATGCCTACTATTAATTTAATTGTGAATTCCTAATAAGGAATAAACACCTCTAAGTTTTTTAATTTGTTCTGTTACTTTGGCCTCTACATAATATTTTTCTAAGTATCTAGTGTTTTGTACCCTCAACTTCCTGTCTATACTTAGTCACACTTAAAAGTGAATGTACATATGTACTTTTGTTGCTCAGTAACTAATGTCTATTATAAAAATAAAATGTCAATTTTTTTCTGAATAATGAAACAGGACATATGCAATAAAGTGCTTAAAGACTTTAAAGTTATCACATTATAAGGGACTAAATGATTATTTCTACCTACAAAGGGAAGTTTTTTGATAAACACCCTATTTACATGAATATGAATTTTTAAGAGTCATGTAAACATTCTTAGTTTTTCTATTTACAAATATTACCTCAAAACAGGAAGTATTAAAAGATTAAACAACTAGACTTTGTGATATTTTTTGTATTTTATGATTTTTAAATTTATAACAATATACATTACATACAAGGAGTAAAGTCTATATATTTCTTGCAATATTTTCTTAAATTTTAAAAATCAGAAATAGTAGGGATAATATCATTGCCTATTGAAAATTAAAACACCTTCCAAACAATACTTGACTAAAGGGGATCATTTTGGTAAATTATAGAAAAAAAAGTTGCTGAATAATCTTAAAATGTATTTTCTAAATACTGACTCCTGCAGTCACTTTCATCATTCAACTTATATGTAGATATGCTTTATATTCCATAATGAGCTGGGGTAATAAACCAGAGTGGCCAAGAACCAAGGACTAGAAACAACTGGGTAACCACTTGGATTCACAGCTGAATATCAATTTGAGCACCAGCAATGATACCCCAGTTCCAGACAAGACAAGACAGCCAAAACACTGATAATATGCCTTCGACTTAATGATGGAACTACTGTACTTAGCTATTTGTATTTAATACAATCATTTCCTTTAAGTTCCACCATAAAATATAATTCCTCAGATATCATCAACTATCCTGTGGTGATAAGTAGTAATGCTTATTTTGTCTGGTGTTTCTCACAGCAGAGGAACAAATCTATTTCTGAATACATACATACTGATCTGTCATACATATGTATGTGTTTCTGTGTATGTATAATTTTAGTCTTGCTGACTAACATGAAATGTGAAAGTCACAGTATCATCAGTATCAATATTGTTTCACCTGAATTGTACCAATAGTGCAAACAAGACTCTGAATTCTCAGCGGGAGATAAGATCCGAAGGTGAACAGTATAAGAAAGCCTGGAAATAACTAAGTAAAAATTAATACATTCTGGAAAATTCTAGGCTGCAAGTGCTCCTAGGGAAGGAAGGATGTATGAATGGATCAATCAATTCATCAACTGATCAATAAGTAGATGAAACAAGCCTCCGTGGAAGACATTATGCTACATACATTCTTTGAGTAGATCAACTTGTTGCATACTCATGAAAATACCATGTATTTGTATGATTATTCTCTTTTTACCAAGGGAAAAAAAAATAGAACAGAGAGTATATCCATGTCTATATGCATTTAATCAGATTCTAACCTTTAGTATTATTAGTTACGGGAAAAAAGAATGAAATCTGTTATCCATTCATCAGAGATAATTCCACACATTTTTGATTGTACTTCCACTAAGTACAGTTACTGAAAACTGATTTCAAAAGATTTAATTGATTAAAAGTCATTGTCTGGGGCCCTCCCTGGTGGCGCAGCATGTTAAAGCACAACACTGAGAAGCTTAAGCCACTTCCGCATGAGTTCGACCCCCACCTGCCCTGAAGGTGACCACATGGCGTGGCAGACCTCTCCTGACCAGTCCGCTGCTCCCCTCAGCAGTGTACTTGGTCGTTCTGCCTGTTCTGCTCCTCACTCTGTGTCTGGTGAATCCTCTTACCGCCCCTGCCCCTCTGGCCTGTACCCCAGCTCTGTATGCATAAATAAATAAATCTTAAAAAAAAAAAAGTCATTGTCTGTTTGCAAGTCAAAAGGACTCTGTAGACTCATCACCTTTCCTGCTGAAACTGGGAAGTCACTCATGCCCACATCTGAGTATTTATCTCTGTCTGCCCCAAGTCGTGTTCATTCCCTCACCAGCACAGCCTGAAATCTTGAATTACACAGTAAAACTATTACAGTCCAGAATATGTTCAAATTGGAGACTGTGGCTTCGATTCTACCCCTTCAAATTACCTCCCTTACAAATACAGAAGAGCACTTACATACAGGAAGAAAAATCAAGGCAAGGAAGGTTTTCATTTCTTCACATTTCAGAAGGCAGGTTAATTAAGAGAGCAAATCCCTTTTCATTCATTTAGCAAAACACTACAGATGCCTCCTACAAGATCTTATTTCACTGAATATTTTAAGAATTGTTTTTAACATTTTGGAGGTAATTTATTGGATTATTTTAAATGGCTAATTTCATGAAATAATTCAAGAATGTTATTGAACTAAAATATATTAATATAATTAGATAAACAAGTCATATTTTATTATCAGTGCCTTGGTAGGTAGTGTCATACATATTCCCATGAAATCATGCCACATTTACAGTAGCTTCAAAAATTCACCCAGCAAGACAAGTGAATTATTAATCAGAGAACTGTCTACAGCAAATGTCAAAAAAAAAAAAAAAGACCAAGAGGAAAACATACCATTAAAACTGAGGTTCAAAAACCAATTTCTGTAGATTGCTGATAATATCTTATAATAGTGTTGTTTTAATAGTATAGAAGCATTGCTTACAACACTTCTAACAGCCACTAAAGTTTTGAAAATATGCTATTTTTAACCAATAATTCTAATAGAACTATTTGTTCTCTTTTCCTTTTAGAAAATATAAAATCTTTAGAGCATGGGGTCACTGCTCCATTCACATTTTAGTAAGTTAAGATTAGAAGCTAAATCTACAGTAAATAATTGACTGTATAGAAACTACTAGATTTGACAGCACACAGTGTTGTTGGCAGAAAATTCTGTCAGCAACAATGTCTGGTTTTACCTTCTCAGGGAACTCTCCACTGTGGTTCCATAAATATTTCATGAACCAACATAAAGTAATATGCTAATGATAGACTATTTGCCCAGTGAGCAGGTGCACCCTCTGATGCTTTTCATCTCTGGGCCACCTTTGATGTAGGATCACTGAAGCCATTTTGAATTGTTCTTTTATGTGTGCTTCCCTCCCCTTACAGTTTCACCTGAACCTAAAATGGTGAGTGAGAGTCATCATGAGGCCCTGGCAGCCCCGCCAGTCACCACCGTCTCGACTGTTCTACCAAACAATGCCACAGAGCCAGCCAGCCCTGGAGAAGGAAAGGAAGATGCCTTTTCTAAGCTGAAAGAGAAATTTATGAATGAGTTGCATAAAATTCCATGTAAGTATTATAGAATATTTAACTAGAGTAAAAATAAAGGTTGAAAATCACCTATCCAATGGAAAGAAAGTGGGACTCCTCTTAACATAGAAGCTTACAGTTGATTTTTTTATTATTGGAATGGCAGCACTCTAATGTTAAAATAAACATTCTTGGATTTGAAGTCTTTAAATATACATTATAAGTGAAAATTCAATTGATAAAAAATATTTTTCATGTCTGTATTCTTAATCTTCTTTAATGCCTATTTCTCTCACAAATATTAATGTTTATGGGTGTGTTGTTTGTATTTTAGATTTGTATTGCACTGTAGTCTATCCCTTAGCAATAGGTAAGCTGAACCAATATTCCAAGTTTTTATTTGATTTTATTCATTTATTATTTGAAAACATTTTGAACATCCCATTCACTGTCTGTCATCAGGAAAATAAATCTATACCTATGTTTTTTGTATGAGTATAGCACTTTCTAAGCAGTGGTGTTTTACTTAAATGTCAAACTACAGATTGGTCTTTTATCCTAGATTAAGCAGTTACTATGTACAATACACTTCCAGATTATGGAAAAACAGGTTTTGGCCTTCACAAAGCTTATGTTGAATAGGGCTAAGAAGTAATAAATAACACAGGCAGATATCTAGAGTGTCATGTCTTGATAATAAAACTAAAGGAGAGTAAATAGGATGAGGACGGGTGTAGAAGATAAAAGGTTATTTTTTTAGGATCTTCAGGGCTGATTTCCTTTGTAAAGAAACCTGGAGGATGTGGCAGATAAATTTATAAAACCTGGGAAATACAGACAAAAGCCTTAAGGCAAAAATCTGCCTGGAACAACAAGGAGCCCAGTGTGCTGAAAGAAAAAGAACAGAAAGTAGCAGGAGATGAAGTTGGATTGTCACAGAAGCCCTTCTCATATGTGGCCTGTGAATTGTTAGGAACTTGGATTTTACTGGGAGTTACAATAAAATGCCTTGGGAGCATTTTGAGCAAAGGTTTTCAATGCTCTGACTAGAGTTCTTAAGAAATTAACTCTTGGCTACTGTGTTGAAAATGAACTACAGAAGTGTTAAGGACAGAAGACACAGAGGTTGTTTCAATAAACTAGATGAGAGATCTATAAAATTTGTTTTTGTTTAGTTTTTTTTTTAAGATTTATTTATTAATATGGCCAGAGATGTGGAGGGTGAGAGGATTCACCAGATACAGAGCGGGGAGCAGAACAGGCAATCGAGGAAGTACACTGCTGAGGGAAGCAGTGGGCCGGCCAGGAGAGGTCTGCCTCGCCATGTGGATCTCCTCCGGGGCAGGCGGGGATCGAACTCATGCGGAAGTGGCCTTAGCTTCTCAGTGCTGTGACTTAACCCACTGTGCCACCAGGGAGGGCCTTTTTCTTTTCTTTTTTTTTTTAAGATTTATATATTTATGCATACAGACATGGAATACAAGCCAGAGGTGCAGGGGTGGTGACAGGGTTCACCTGAGACAAGAGTGGGGAGCAGAACAGACAGATCAACGAAATACACTGCTGAGCGGAGCAGCTGGCGGGTCAGAGAGGTCTGCCACTCCATGTGGATCACCTCCGGGGCGGGGGATCGAACTCACACTGAAATGGCTGCAGCTCACTTGCAGTGCTGTGTACTAACCCACTGTGCCACCAGGGAGGGCCTTTATAAAATCTGTAAGAGAATTATTCTGTAAGGACATTAACTAAATAAAATACAAGGACTCCACTTCTAATCTGATGAATTAAAAATGTGTAGATCTATCTGTTCATAACAACAAATTCATTTGAGGGATACTCTTAGCACAGCTTCTGATAATCACTACTCTTAGCAAAATGATTCAGTCTAGGAAAGACAGAGATGGTACAATAGATCATGCATTCGGATGGGAAACATAATCTCTCATTCTCTTCCTCATACTGTTGCTAAACTGACGGATTGATCTGGGTTCTTTTGATACCCAACGACAATATGTTTCAAGGTAGAAACTAAGTGCATAGATCATGGGGAAGCTCTCATTTAAACAGTTTATCAAAATGCTTACTTTGAGACAAACATGCTATAAGAAAGCACGGAAAGTAATGAGTACCACCAAGTCAAATGTACATTCCACCTTGTCTTCATTACCAGCTCCTATTCTGTGCCAGCAAACAGTATGAATGGCATGACAACATTGCTAAAGATGGGATTTAAGGTTCCCTACATATGGACAGGACTCATTCTTTCATCACCTTTAGATCTTTGCCCAGATCATCTTTCTCAACCACACTATTAAATTTATAATCTATTTATCACGTCCCATTATTGCCAGCATTTCCTACTCTCACTTTTGCTTCATTTCTTATATTACTTAGCACCATCTGCAATACTATGTATTTTACAATTTGTTTTTAAGTTGCTCTGGCTTCCTCCAAAAATAACACCAGCTCTCTGAGAGCAAGAAGATGGATCTGTTCTATTCATATTATATCCCTGGTCCCTGGCACAAAGACACTCAATATCTACTTATTGTATGAATGAATGACAATGTAACTTACATCCTGAACCATCTCTCTTGGACTTTGAGGCTTTAAGATGCTGATTAATATTTCAATTTCTAACACTAAGGAAAGCATTATTTCAATACTGTATTGTTCACACTGATAAACAAATTGTTTTTATCTTTACAATAACTCCATCATTAGATTTTCCCATGGAGAGTTAGGCATTACATTTTCCTCTCTGTTCATGGGCAGGAAAACAATCAGGGAAAGAATCTATAAAATTCTCCTTTCTTCTCTTTTATTTCTACCCAAGCCACTGCTCCATTCCTGTGTCCCTTTCATGGGGCACTGGAAATCAGACCAGGTAAACAATTTACTCCTCTGTGAAAATATTCACTTGACCACCAACATAATATAACAGTTTTAGAATAACTGGGTAACAGCAGTAAAAATATTATATTGCTAGTACTCTCCTTAATGTAATAGAAATCAGTGAAATGTAAAATCTTAAAATGGTATGGTAAATGTTAGAAAAATTCTCAGAAATATAACCATGTGGTTAAATATATGTAACTTTATGTTTTACACTTTCATTTTAATCCATCACAATTTTTATTGCCTTTGTAATTGAATTTTTTAATGAGATTTATGCACAGAGAGCCACACTAAACAAAAATAAAAAATATCCTTACAATCAAATTCCTCTGGGACAATATGTTATATAAAGGTTATCACTTTTGACTTGGCATAATATACTGTGACAATAATGACAGGTAACAAATTAGAATATTAATCGATTTCAATCTCTGAACTAAATCTTGGCTATGTGGCAGATGTGTTTTTTGCAAAATTGATAGCAAACAGCTTTAGTCTGTCACTTGGAATTCCCACTTATGAGAAGAGTGGTGTCACAATGGCAAGGAGCGTGCATGTCATTAGTTGGGCAATCTGCACAGTCCAGCATGGAGCATATTCAACCCAAATTGCCTGATGGTATCATCCATAACACCACAGGGCTTTAAAAAAAAAATTAAAAAAGGAAGAGGAAATGGTAAATGCTGAGCATTTTTATCTGTCAATTCATTCCACACACTGTTATCTAAATGAAACAGACAAGCTTTTTCAGAATGTTTCTTTATTTTGCAACTTTGATTTTAATACGACTAGGGCCATGGTTGGTTTGTAAAGCATGAACTCATGTCATCAGAATAGCTGTGATTAACGTTTTGATATTCATGAGCTTCTTGAAGTACAGAGCACCTTTCCTTAAGCACAACAGAAAGCCAAACAGTCAGAACCTGACTCAGTCCAGAATAAAATTCAGTGAGCTAAGGGTGGTTATGGTATTCATGTAGAAATACACCGGACAGCTTTAAACAAGAATTTAAAACACAAGCTCTGAACACACTGCATGGCTTCAAATCTTAGCTCTCCCATATACTGAATCTGTGACCTTAGGACTGTTACATCAACTTTCTCTGTGTCAGTTTCTTCCTACATAAAATGGGGATGAAAACATCTCTATCATAGGGTTGTTGGGTAAGGCGTCAATGCATATAAAGTGTTTAGCAGAGTGTCTGGCACTGAGTAAGCATTCTATAAATGTTAGCTATTATTAAATCCAAGCTGTCATTTTAACAAGTCTATTTCTATTTTAGAAAAGCCCTCTATTTAGGTCAGACACCCAAATTAAGAAAATTCCAGAAATTTCACAGTCAAAATACTTGTGCATTGCATTCTTTAAACCCACTTTAGTGGTGCCTGTTCTAGAAAAGATGATTGCCTTCTTGGTACTTCCTCTTCCTATCATCTGCTCTAATTTTCCTTTCTTCTAACTTTAATTTCACTTACTCCCTCATTCCTTTAAGCCTACACATGCACTTAAGACTCATGTATTTGAAAGTGCCCCGCAAAATTCTATGTAAGTGCTTTTAGAATATCAGTTTTCTTCTTTCATGCTCTACATTTTCTTAACTACGTTGTGAAATCCCATTCTATATTCCTCCTTCAGATCTACACAAAACATGGTGAAAAACAAACTAGATCCCGACATCTGTTTGTTCAATTCCCATTAACAGCTCCTTCTATGCCAATTCTCATCTTTCATACACTATTAAAATTGTTTTCACTGACGTCACAGGTACTTCTTTTGCTCAATTATGGTGTTTAGTAAGTCTTCACTCAATCAGATATTTCTGCTTCTTTATCGCTATTGACTTCTACCCTCTGAGAACTCTTGACGTTTAGAGCTCTTAGATTTGTTCCTTTTCTTCCCTGCATTTGCTCTCATTATCTGATCCTCTGTTCTCATTCTCTCCTTCCTTAAGTAGTAGACCTCCTTGTTTACAGGGTTCTAATTTATTCCACTCAGAAAAATGGTTTTCCTGGGCAATCTCATTCACCTGCCCATTTAAATAAGGACTCTCACTATTATCCCTACCCCCAAGATCTCTCATCTCCAAGTCTATACCTACCTTCAGTTAAAAAATGAAAAACCTGGCCCTCCCTGGTGGTGC